AAATTTTCTGTATTCTGTGTCTGGATTCCATTTAGGAATGAAGAGAAGGCAGCCATGCCTTGCAATGGAGGGACCATGAAGGAAATCTAGTACTTCCTTCTATTTCCTGTATTATATACAAAGTGCACTGTCTCACTAGTGGTCCCTGGTAATAAGCTGTGGACACAGTGGAAGCTACAGTATCTCACTGACTTGTTGGTAGCTCTGTGGGATTGTCTTGTATTCAAACTCCATTTCCACAACATGCTTCTGCAGACTACTGGCATGAAAAAAAGTAGGTTTTTGATTAGTAAATTGAAATAACTCCTTAACTGCCCATGAAAAGGGTTGTGGGTAATTTTTTTAAAACAAAATCCCCTCTCCGATTAACAACAGAATACTTGCTTTCACAACAAAGGGATGTGGCTTATGACTGAGGAATTTGGCACTGGGCAGGAGGAATTTAGGGAATTGATTGTAGCTTGATCATTCAAATGGCAAAATAGTGAGAAACTGGTATGCTGGCTTGCTCTTGTGCTCACTGAAAATCCTGCTTCTTTTAAGAACAAATGTATAGGAATGGAGTAGCTCAGCTAGAAGCATGAAGGGGAAAAGTTAATGGCATGGCAAAATAGATGTGCTAGAGGGGTCTGTCCTACCTGAATGTTTAAGTGCAGAGCAGTTGTTACACCACAGAGTTTCTGTGCTGCCATTATAGCTAACACAGCTTTTATTTTATGGTGAGACATAGTCTGTGCACTGATCCTGTGCTTTAAACTCAGTGTAGATAATCCAGAGTGCTGAGGTCTGACATTGGTGTTACATGGTATGATACACACCCAGCCAAGTATTCACCCCTTCTATGACCAGCATCCAGGTCACAGAGTGATGCTCCTATTGTGTGGTGTGGGTTTGGGGGTGGTTTTGTGGGAAAGTTGTGCTGACAGCCTTGATTCTCTGCTGTAGAGAAATTACTGGATGCAGGAAGGATTATCCAAGTTAGTTTCTATGGAAACTTGAGACATTTTTGTATTCAAGAGCTCGTGGCTGTCAGTTACATCTCTACAAAGAGGTGTTTTACGCAGATAGTGATATTTTCTTGTGCATCAGCTGTGCCCAAAATAAACCAGAGCTTGCTGGTGTCGAATATCCAAATCTGTTTAGCTTGCTGCCATATGGACAGGTGGCTTAAGCTTGGTGGGGGTCCTATGCTTTCTTAAAATTGTGGAATAAATTAGACTGGAAAGAAACTTGGGAGGTCTCTAGTCCAACCTGTGCTCAAAGCAGGGAAACCTTAAAAATCAGGTCAGGATGCTGAGAGCCTTGTTGAGTGCAAACTCTCCATCCCTGTCAATAATCAGAAAACTGAGTGTTTAACCACCAGATTTGCTTTCTTCTTTATCCATCTGATTTTTTTTCCCTACTATTTGTGACACTTGCCTCTCACCCTTGGCACTGTGTACCACAGAGGAGAGTTTGGCTCTGTTTTCCTGTAGCCATTAGCTTAAAAAATAGCAACTGGCTCTGACCTTACCCTTTTCTTCCCTGTACTGAACAAACCCAGTGTTCCTGCCTTGCATGTGCTTGTATCTTCTCGTACGTGCTCCTGCCCCCTGTGGTTCCTCCACTGAACTCTCAGGTTTTTCTTTCAGTAAGAGCTCAAAGCTGGGCATGGTGTATTCAAATTTTTTTGGCTTATAAGTACTGAATAGAGTGGGAAATAATAATTTCACATGACCCACTGGCTGTGCTCTTGCTAACACAGCCTAGTGCAAAGCTGGGCCCTGCTGGAAGAATCATACTCAACTTGCTGCTCCTCAGGAGCCCCAGGCTCTCTTCTTTCAAAGCTGAATTCTAGCCAGGCTTGTCTCCAGTATATGGAGTTACTCTTGACCCAGGTGCATGACTTTGCTTTTGATATTGAAATTTATGTAGTTCCTCTTGGTCCACTCTCAAAGTCTGCTGATGCCCCTCAGTTGCAGCTCTGTCCTCTTTCTTGCAGGCCATATTCATCATAGCTTTTTCCTAACACAGAACAACCAGTGTGTTGTGCTGGTTGTGATCCAAACACATTAGGGCCCTTAAAAGTTGTAGTGCACTGGAGGAAATTTAATATCTGTGCCCTAAGGCTTCCCACATCTTCATTTCTCCCTAGGGGGTAACAAGGGTTAGGATCTAAAGCAGGCTTCAGCTGAAAGCCTGACAAGATAATATGCAAGATTAGAGCAAAATGCTGGTTATGCTGAGTCTGAGGGGTTGCAGATGCAAAGAGGCAGAACCTGGCAATGCACCACATTTTAACAGGGCAGGGGTCACACAAACAGATCAGCTAGGCAGGGAGTGTGCAGAAAGGGGAGGCAGCTGGGTGCCTGCCAAAACAGCTCAGAAAACAAATGTGATGCCACAAACAATGTAAAAATGAAGAGCAAAACTATTGTTTGTTCTAACTGGAGTGCAAATAGTGGAATAATTCACCAACTACGTGATAATTTGTAATGGGCACTTGTGAGACTGTTTGGTACATAAAAGACAATTGAGTTCACAATTATGTGTAGACAAGACTTAAGCCAGTTTCATGCTTTTTGAAGAAAAATGGAAGAGAAGGGGGGTGAAGGAAAGGCAGAAGCTTTGCTCAGCACTGCTTCTTTCAGAATTGTCCCTCTCTATGCATTCACCACTGCGCAAAGATAGATCTTCTTTCTGAAATACTTCACTTTAGGAACCTTCTACAACTACAAGAAACAACCCAAACAACTCCTTTTGACCAAGATCCCCTGACAAGGAAAGAAACGAGGCTATCTGGTAGTACGTCATATCTCAGCATTACTTTTAAATGCTCAAATGACGACACACTTCCCCTGGTCTGTGCCCACCATCTTCCTTTACATCACTAATGGAAATATGCACTCACACACTCTGGGCTGAGTTTCTGAGCCGTTTTCAGTTTCCAGCATTAGTAGTATAGTTGGAGTGTGGGAGGAACCCAAAAGGCGTGACTTGGCAAACTGCTTTTGCGCTACGCTGACTCACAAGTTTTGGCATTCGCTCCTTTCACAAAACACCTGGGGTTTTTTTGGTCTTGTTTTTTTTTCCCCCCCAAGCCTATTACGAGTTATTTCTAAGACACATCAAGATTAAAACATCTCATATTTAATGTGTATATGGCAAAACAACCATGAAGCATATCTATATTTAAATATATGGATATTTTAAATGATTTTTCCCTAGCATAACCTGAAAAGTGGGAGTTTTCTAAGCTGAGTGTTTTGCCTTATCCATAACAAGTTTGCAACTTACCCAAATTCATCGAGTTGTAATGTTTTCTGTTGTGCATTTTGGGAGGTGGCCTGTGGCCCAAGTGCTACCAAAAAAGTGCCATAAGGAGAACAAAAATTAATACAGTGCTAAAATGCTTTCTCTTATGGCTTCAGCATCATTTGAAGAGTTTGACTGTCTTTTATTATGTTTTTTCTTTTTTTTTTCTTCTTCCTAATCTTGAAACAAGATTTATTTTGTCATCTAAGTCTTTCAATAGTCATGTTCTGTTTTGGATGAAGCAGCTGCTTGTCTTTGAAGGAATTGTTAACCAACAATATTTAGACAAGGTGTTTACCCTAAAAAGAACTGGCCTACCAATAAAGTTCCATTTTTTCCAAACTCAGGAGATAGTGTTTAGTGCTATGTCCAGATAGACCTGGGAAATCTCAGGAACGTGTTCTTCTGACAGAATTGTTTTAATTATCCTAAGAATTCTTAGAAAGCCCCTCAGAAATCCTAAAGTCTTTTCCATAATAAGAACAACACTTTTTTTTTTTTTTTTAATGAGGCTTCTATGAGATTAAACTCTTTACCAAGTAACAACTATGTCAAAATTGACAGTTTATAAATTAGTCAGCTGTATATGTTCAATGAATTTTGAGAGACTCAGCTAGCTGGCAAGGTTTGAACCTGGTTTGTTGAACTGCTTAAATCAATCACAACTCTTTAATATTAAAAAGCAAGGAGGAAAAAACTTAGAAAGTAGTTACAAGTATAACAATTAAGTGACTGGAAGAGAGCAAAGGCCTCTTCCAGCATGTTCCAGCTCTGATTTCTCTATCAAACACAGATTTGTTCACCTTCTTCGCCACATTAATGCCGAGATCTGTGAGGTTCTACCCCGTAACTTTGACATTTCCCCATCAGGGACACCTGGGCTTGCACATCACTGAAAGGGGCAGCCTGGCTCTCCACCAACCCTGTGGCGAGGAGGTGAAAACCAGCTGGAACACAGTTATGCTCTTACTTTCTATTCCCGGGTTGCAAACGCCTGTGCAGGTCCCGAGCCCCGCTGTGGCCCCACCTGCTCACCCCCCGCAGGTGAGGCAGCCCGGGGTAAAGCCCCGCACGGGTACGCGGGGCCCGGCCTCGCCCTGCCGGCTCCTCGGGGGCTTGGTGCGGGCGGCAGGACCACGGCCAGGGGCTGCCGGGCCCGGGGTGAGGGGGGTACTCGCCCTGCCCCGGCCCCGCCGCCCCCCTGCCTGTTGCCCCCGCACCCCTCCCGTTACCCCCCCGGGCACCCCCGCGGCGAGCGGGGCCGGGACAGGCTCCGGGGGGCTCGCCGGGCCCCCTGGGGGAACGCACAGGGGAGCCCTGCCCGGGGCCCCGCTTCCCCCGCAGCACCTACCGAGAGCGGCGGCGGCGCCTCCGCCTTCATGGGCCACCCGGAACCCGCCGGGCGAGGGAGGGGCGGCGGCGGCCGGAACCGGGGCGGGCGGTGGGGGCGGCGCCCGCGGTGTGCTGCGGTGTGCGGCGGTGCCGCGGCCGTGCCCGAGGAGCGCCGGGCCGGTGCCCCGGGGGCTGCGGCGGGACCGGGGGCTGCGGCGGCCGCGACCCTCGGGGCCGGGCTCTGTCGTGCCCTCGGGCCGGACTACATCTCCCAGCGAGCCCCGCGCCGGCCCTCGCGAGAGGTGGCCGGGCTCGCGCCGGGACTTCCTTTCCCTGCGGCCGCCGGCGCTCCGGAAGTGGCCGCGCGGCGCTTCCGCGGCGGCGGCGGAGGGACCGGAGCGGGGCGGGGGGAACGCGGTCGGTGCCCGGCCCTCGGTGCCCGCGGTAACGATGGACGTGACCGGGCCCGAGACCGACTGGCGCAGCACCAACTTCCGGCAGAAGCTCGTCAGCCAGATGTGAGTGCGCTCCGCGGGCCCGGTGCCGGGCAGGCTGGTCGCGGGCCTCGGCCCCCGCCGGAGGGGCTCCCGCCGCCCCCGGGGCCGTGTCCCGCCTGTCTGCGCTGCTCTGCGAGGCCTTTCCGGCCTTCCCCGGGCTGCCTGGGTTCGTGCCCGGACCTCGCTGTTTCCTCTCCCCCGGGCCGGTACCAGGATTTGCTCAGACTGCTTTTTTACTTAATTTCTCCTATCCTCCTACCGTTGCACTTTGCTCTTCCCCAGAAGCACCGGCTCCCAGTCCTGCTTGACAGCATCTGCTTTAGGGCTTCGATTTTGGCGGTGTCCTTGGTGGTGTGAAATTTGACATAATCAGTTTTATGAAAACGCCTGTTATGGGCTTGTTTCTGACTTTTTAGAGCAAATATGAGATAAAAATGCTGGTGGTTTAATGTAAAGTTCAACTTGTTGCCCTTTCAGTTGTGAAACAAGTGCTTTACTTGAATTAATTTGCTGCTCTGCAGGCTTTCCTTATTTTATGGAAGGCTCTTCTGTCCTGTGCAAGGTGGTTGTTACAGAAGGGAAAGCGCTGTTCATTATTTCTAAAGTAATGTTGAAGTCCTAATTTATGTAGGTTTGGAAAGCTTGACCTTAATTTGTTGATTATAAGGATCAATATATAAAATTGACAGTCTTTTTTTTAAGATATGTAAGCAATTTCCTGTTTGGCTGCCTGTAGTTTTACTTCAGTTAAGGTGCTGTTCCAGAATTAAACTGTTACAGTATTCTTTAAAGAATTAATGATGATGTGTATCTGTCAAAGCCATGCAAACTTTCTTGGTGCTCAGAACTGATGTTTCACTTTCTAAACTTTCTGTAAAGTCATTAGTGTTCTTAGGTGAATCCCTCATTGCTTCTCCTCCTCCTCTTCTGCTGCTTCATCAAAACAAGCAAACAAAAGTGCCCTTGAATGCTGTGTAGCTTTGAAGAAATAAACATGATAAATTAAATGTGTGGAACCATTCACATAACTCCTTTTGAGTGCCTTGTTATGCTGCTGGGTACAGAAGTCTTAATTTGTTTCAGTTTCATGCCTGGGTTTCCTTTACAACACTGAATTTAAGATTTTGGGGTTTTGGTTTGTTATTCTTTTTAAGAGTGACATGTGAGTGAACATTTCAGTGATGCTGTGGGGAATAAGTGTCCTGTGTAAGTGGTCTGTGTGTATGATTGGGTTATTTGAGAGAATTGTGCCTTTGATGACCCAAGAACCTCTTCAGTACTGGGCTCTGTGTGACTGCAGACCCAAGCAGGACTTCCAAGATCAAGGAAAAGCCAGAGACCAGGTGACTGGGGCTGAGGAGCAGCTTTGGCTTCTCCCAGGATGTTCCAGGAGACAGCAGTGATGTAGGAGTGTGGATATACACTTGTGCTTGCAGGGTACCCCTTTATCCTGGCTCTTACATAGAGCTGGTACTTACTGGTGCCATGGGAGTCTCCTTCCTAAAGGCCTTTCCTTAATGTGTTTTTAAATGGTGGTGGTGCCTGAAGGACAAATCTGATCTGGGTTGTGTGGTGGTAAACCCAGTTCGTGGTTGTGTACAGTTCCTACCCCAAGCTGCTTCCAGGCTGTGTTAGAAGGGGATTGTGTTGAGTGTAGGAAAGGTATGTAACTCAGGTTGTGGGGTGTTCCATTAATTTTGTGTTTGTTTTTTTGCTTGAAGTTTTCGTCTGTATCTTCTCACTTTAGTTAGTGGCTCAGCTGAGTGAGAAGAAAGAATGTCTGAACAGAAATAGAGATGAGAATGTGGAGAGTACGTGAAAGGAGGAGACTGAGAAACGAGCAGGCAGAAAAAGAGTGGAACAGCTGGAGTTTTTTGAGTGATGAAGGGAAAAATAAGAAAAGGAAGGTTGTCTGCATTTGTTGCTCTCCATGAAACACATCACAAAACCGGTTCATAAAGCAACCTCAGTTTTATATTCCAGCCTAGGTTGTCTGATGAGAATTCAGGCAAAAAAGTCCAAGAGGGCAGATGTTTCTCCCTTCCTGGGAGTGTAGAGGAAGTGAGGGATTAGTTATTTATAAATTCTTATTTTGACACAACTGTGAACTGAAGAAGCTACCGCAATACATCTTCATTTCAAGTGTTTGGGTTGCCATGCAGTGAACCTGATAGGGAAATTTCTCAAAGTGAAAAATAACTCAGGAAAAGTGGTTATTTTTAACCTTGCTTGTTCTTCAGTAGTGCTGATGGCAAAGCCACACAGACAGTTGTACCAGCATGCCTTGGCAGGGGTGGCTTCTTACCTCGTCACCTCTGCCAGAGGGAATCCCTTCTCCTGGAGGATATGTTTGTGAAGCTGTGAAGGGATGATTCTGTGTGTAGTGAGAAGGGTTTTTTCATCTCTGCAGAACTGGAAGGAAAGGTAATGCTAGAACAAGGCATTAGGGAGGCTGGATGGTCCTTTGCATTCCTCGTGTAGCTGAAGGAGTTGTGCTGGGGACCTGGGACCTTCAGGCCTCGTATTCTGTCAAGCAACTGTGAATAAAGTAGTGAGTGATTCCTGCTTTGGGCCTTCTGCTGGGGTGTGTTACAGGGGTATTCCTGCAGTGAGGGCTGCTATTGATAACATTTGTTATGCCCGATCTGTAACAAACAGAAATGTTGTGTGAGACAGTTATCCACACAAGATCAAGGGAATGAAGTTTTACTTTGAGGTTTTTAAACCTTGTAATGTGGATGCATATGGCTAACAGCACACCAGCACACTCCCCCCTGCCCACCCAAAGCAAGAAAGGTTTCGTTAACTGAGTGTCATAGTGATCAAATATTCTATTTCACAAAGCAGCATGTGGTGATTTTACATGTCTTAATGTGGTGTTGGCCCTGGAACTCATTGCCCTTGTCTTTTGTTGGAACAACTGATTCATGCAGTCATGGTGTGAGCTGGGGAGGGAGCTGATGTAGTTTTGAAGGAGAACGTGTTTTGCAAGATGTTTCAGCTAGACCAGTTGGCCTTAGTGAGTGGTTGCACATATTTGGGCTGGAAACAAGCTTCTTGGGAATGGAGGGGGAATTCCTGAAGCTGGTGTTGGTGTCGAATGCTTCGTCTTTTGAAACCACAACTTTTGAGTGTTGTGCATGAAATCCAAAGCGCAGAGTTTTCATGCACATCTTGTGATGCAGTTACTAAGTGCTTATGAGGCAGATGAAGGTTGGATTGTCTGGTACCATCTAGTTTTCAGAATTTTGTCGAGTTCAGTGTTCCATAAGGATACCATACGTTACGTGGTATCCTTAACTCTGGGCTAAAGCTATGACTTTTTTTTTAAAGTGACTTTCCTAGTCTTCTAATGTAAACATTTTTATGTTGATTGCAGTTAAATATGTAAACAAGGAAAGGGTTGTGTGTTTTTTCTTCCTTCTAGTCTAAACCTTTATTGGAATGCTAACAGATAGGACATGGACAGCTTGGAGTGGCATTTTTGGTAATGAGGATGTAGTCATAATAACATGTCTTTCATGTTCTATAACTTCAAAAGGAAAAGGTAGATACATGTAAAAGTAGATAATTTCTTTTTTTCCCCCAAGTTCCTGGTACCAAGTTCCACATTGATCACTGTCTGTATCACAGCCACTGAGCACTACCTGCATTACTTTCTTTACTTGCCTCTGCGTAATCTTTGTCTTCTCTTTTTGCCAGCTCAGTTTTCAGTGCTCTCAACATGAAAGGCATTGCCATTGTACTGGAACTGGGAAGTTAAGGAGGATTCAGAGAGTAGTGTGGATTTAGAGGCAGCCTTTCCAAAAAGGGAAGCATTAAAAAAGGGATTGTCAATAAAGAATTGGATGTAGCCTCTTCCTCCGCAGCAGAGCTCCTTCAGGAGCAGTTCACTTTAAGGCTTGTTTGCCCATGGAGGAATAGTTGTCCTGCATTATGTTCAGATTCAGCTTCAGTTTAAGTAACTTCATAAATAAGCAGCATTTTTTTTAGTGTCTGTCAGACCACACCAACAGGTTACCTGCAGCAGGTAGGATGTTCACTGTCTTCTACCTTGCAGGCTGCAGCAGGTCAGCTGCCTGCTGCTGGTTTGTGAGGAAAGGGAATGAGTTGTGGCAGCCTAAGCTCCTGCATTTTAAGGCTGTACCACCTGCTCTTTGCTTCTGTGGCTGTTACTGAGTTAATTCAGGAAGCTGAACCAGCTTACTGCTTGTGCAAGCACCATTCCTGCTGCACGGGACCTGGTAGAAATTCAGGGGAAATTGTTCCCCCAAAATGGAAAACATTAATCTTGTCAATCAGTTTTCCTCAAACAAACAACTCCTGGTATTTTGTCAGGGTGGTAAAATAATGACTTGCCTTGCAGTTGTTCTTGAATTTCTGCAAAGAATATTGATGTTGGCTTTGTTCTCCATCGTTTGAAGAAACTTTAAAGGGTGGTGATTTTAAGTATCGTATGTAGTGTTGATTTGGGGTTCTGTTTGTTTGTTTTATATCTGTAAATGAGAAA